CACGCTGCCGCCTCCCTGCCCAGCGCCGGAGCGCACCTAAAATAGGCAGATTTCCAAAAATATTCCAAAAATATCCGATTTAGTTGTGTTGTTTTTTCTTTCTTTTCAAGGTTCACGATGTTGACAGCGATGTTCTTGGCTGCTCTCATTCTCATTACGGTACATTCGCAGGAAACAGAGGAAACCATAACATACACGGTAAGGTTTAATGGAGTTTGAGGTAGTTACTGCTTTGCGGGGATTCTTTGCTAAATGACCCTTACGAAAAACCAAGTGTCTTGCCAACGCAGAGCGTGCAATATAATGCTGAGTTCGAACATGAGCCATAAAATAAGCTGTTCCTGCGCTGAAATGGAGGTTTGAAGTTGATTTCAGCAAAAACGGGCTACAACAGCCTGTTCTGAACAGCTTATCTCTGTACTCCGCTTGATGAGCTGAACAAAATGATGAGGTTTTAATATTTGGTTTGAATCCGTTTTTATAAAGACAGGGTGCCTAGGACCTTCGTTTGAAATAGATGGTATTTGACAGATAATTAGGTCAAACATTCTTTAGTGTTTTCTTTTGGATATTTCAAGCTTTTTTTAAGAAAATGTAAGTACTTCAGCATTCAGTGCTCTTAATGAAGCATCTAAGCCCTGGAGTGATTGTAGGGCTGCTAACTTCCCAGCTGGTTTTGAGCAGTGGTTTTGCATGGCTTGATAAAATTGTACAAGAATACTAGAAATGGGTTGTGCTTATAAACAAGTGATAGAGATTTAAAGGCATTTTTGTAAGGCTTTTTTTTTTTTTTCTTTAAATCTGCTTGTGTTCAGTCTTTGGCTTGCATAATGCATGTCATGGAAGGAGTGGCAATTACATCGGCTTGGGCTGGGGAAAAAAACCCTGCATTTTCACATCTGATTACAGTTGTAATCCCTGCAACTTGCTTCATATGGGTGGACCTCCGAATATGTGTACAGACATCAGCGCAATGCCACACAAGCAGAAAATTCTGCACACATGCAAAAAGTTAAGAGAACCACAGCCAAAGACTGAGATCGAGCCTTATACAAGTAATCCCACTGAAGTCAGTGGGATGGCTCAGGCAAGTAAATATTGCAGAGTTGGACCTTATCGTGGAAGATGGGGCTCAAAGAAGCCTCAAGTGAGCATCAGGAAGTCAGTCATAAAATACTTCAACACTGGGCTTTAGAAGCAATAGATTGGTTTTTTTGAAGGTTGGGAGTGCTTCTATTTAGAAGCTTCTGTTATTTAAGTCCCTCTCTGTAAGTGGAAACTGAAGATCTAAGTACCTTATAAAAATCTAGACTAACATAGGGATCCCACCCTCCTTTTCTGCATTTGCTACACATTCTTTTTTAAAAATGAATTGGCACTTTCTGATAAGCCTACACAGTTCTGTTTACACCAATGGAGAATTTCTAGTATGCATATATGAGCTGGGTTCCTATACCCCATTTTCAAAGGGGTCTTAGCGTTCGGGTGGTTCAATGTTCATTAGACGATAATCGTGTAAAATTATGTAACAGATAAACCTTAGCTTTTGGAAATTTTACTCTTGTCGCGCTACTGTTTCTCGTGCATACATTGTACTCAGGTAGGGCCAAATCCTTTTCCATTGGAAAAGTCCCTTCAGCTGCAGTAATAGATGGACTTGACTCCTTGCAGTTAACTAGACAGTACTTCTGTTGTGCATTAACAAGAATTTGGTGATTCAGTAAATGCATGAATTAGCTGTTTTCCTTTGGGTTTGTGTTTTCATAGCTACAGTAACTTTGGTGTTGTCAACTCAGCATGCAGTCATTCCTTCAGAGATTGAGAATTGTAATACAATTTGTTGTCCACTTACCCCTTTGGAAGAAAAATCCTGCAAAGTTACGACTCGCTGCTATGTTTGGCAGATCGTTGGTGTCACCTGCAGATGAAGAACATATTTTCAGTCCTAATGCTGAGTCATTGTCTGGTAGTAACAAGTTCCTCAAAGTAACTTGAGGATAGTACGTAGAAAAGTGGATATTTGCATCAGAAGGTCAAATTTGTCACCTCTGTAGTTCTTCTGCAACAGAGGAGTTGCAACAAGATTTAGCTGGCTTGACTAATTAAGTAAGCCAGCTCAAATATTTATTTCTTTCTACAGGGCCATTAAAGTAATAATCTAAGCAGCATAGGATGCATACGCACCTACATAGTACGGCTCAGTTGACTCGCTGATATTTAAACTGTCTACTGTAGCACTGTGATACTTTGCTAATCAGTTTCTGTACTTGTCACCTTTGGTTAAAATCGCTGCACTCCAGACAATTTCATGCCTTTGGCCGGGGTAATAATGCAGATGCCTTACCTAACTGCAGGGCAGAATATTTAAAATTCTTCCTGAAGTTACTAGTCTGGGTTGATATGAATAGTTGCTGAGTATAGTCTTGTTTGAATTTTGCAAAGTCCTATGTATGTAAGTAGTCCCGCTGTCATAAACTCTAAGCGTTCATTGTATGTCTGACAATATAAATTGCCCTTCCTAGACTGCAGTTCCTGGAATCATGTGATTAAAGGGCATGTGAATGAATTTCCAGCTCTCATGAGATCCTTCTCCATTGCTAGAGTGCTGATGGGACAGAGGGTGAAGTACAGGGGGATAAAGGCTCATTAGTCCCTCTGGCAAACCAGCCCCAGGACTGAAAGATGTTCACCTATTGGAAGGCACTGAGCAAGATCAAAATTCAGGAAAACTTCCTTTTTCCTAAGAAGATTTTCATACTGGTGAGCTGGGTCTTTGTAAAGGATCATCTATTCCAGGATTCATCCAGCGACCAGTGCTTTAAAACAGTGTAAAGGAGTGAGGCAGGGAGAAAGCGATTCTTTTCTCACTTTGTCCTCAGCCCCAGTAAAACCGACCTACTCACAACAAATGATACCTTGGGAACCTCCTGAGATAGAGGCTCTCTCAGTATATGGCTGTTGTTCCTGCACAGCAGTGCTGTACCAACACCCATTTTTCTAGCTTACCAAGGTCTGCAAACTTTGCATTTCCCTTAGCATCAAACTTTGAGTTCATTGAAATACGCTTCATTGTTCTTCCAAAATAAAGAATCCTGAGTAGCCTAATTTTTACTTTATTTTTCCCTCTCTCTAGCAATGTACAGATGGCTATGAATGGGATCCTGTTAGGCAACGGTGTAAAGGTACAGTAAATCATTATCCAAGATGGACTTGTCACTGGTATTCTTTAAGTATGGTTATTGCACACCCCTGTTTGGGACAAGGAGGTGTGCTTGCATGTCTCATTGTGTTGTTTGTATTAACGGCTGTTGCAGAAGGTTCGACTGTTAAAAGCACGACTTGTGTTGTTGCTAACCACAGATATTGATGAATGTGAAATAGTCCCAGATGCATGTAAAGGTGGGATGAAATGTGTTAACCACTATGGAGGATACCTCTGTCTACCTAGAACAGCGCAAATTATTGTAAATGAGCGAGAAGAAGCAGCAGCTGAATCCACTAGTGGTCGAAACAACGTCATTCGACGGACTCCAGCTGATCCTCACCGTGCCCCTCCAAACCCAACTCATCAAATTCAGTGTGCGGCTGGGTACGAGCAGAGTGATCACAATGTGTGCCAAGGTAAGCGACCTGCCCCGTGTTCTACTGCCACTGAATCTGGAGGGTGTGTCAGAGCAAACCTAAAGCCTGGAAAACAACAGCCTATAACTCTTGCGTTTAGTGGAAAAAATAAAATACACGTACACCGTTGTTCAAGGTAGCAGGACTTAGTTGCAGTCTGACAGCCTGTTCCATCTATTTCAGGCTAATGAGCAGAATTCTGCTGCCTGTAGATTCTCAAACAAAACCTTAATGCAAGTATGCAACTTCAGTCAAAAATCTTGTATTGTATTACGTCCAGGAGAGGCAGTGCTTTGGAAAGAGGGGGCAATACAGCAAGTCATGTTATAGACAGTTTCTAAAGGTGTGCAAAACAATGTGTTTTTCAGTAAGGGAATGTTGGATGGAACAAAATAAAAAAGGAAAAAAAAAAAAACCAAACAAAAAAAAAGGAACAAAAAACCACCATATGAACTCTTGCTCAGATTGTAATGCAGAAAAATACACTATTTTGATTATGTACAAGGAATATTTCTCCCCAGTAGTAGGAACCAAACATCTGAACAGCTTGTGCTCTTCTGCTCTCTGTGGAAGTAGTTCTACGCAGACCCTGCCAGCTCACTTCCAGTCACGGTCTAGCCGGTCTTTGAAACTATGGCAATGAAGAGCTTTCATCTGAGTGTACGTACACCACACACAGTGCCAAAATTCTCAGGGCATTAGCAATGTTAATTGTATGCATTCAGGAACCAGACTCACAAGCACTACTGTAAACTAAGACTGTTTCATTTATTATTTTATATAAATAGTTTACTCTTGTACTTGCTGAAGTAACAAATGTTTCGTCCACTGTTTTGTTTTCTTTCATAAAAACATAGTCTCCACCTTCTTCACAAACTCGGGTTTCAAGCACGTTAGTGGGATACCCATGCAAACAGAGGGCAAAACGTGACCCCATGGTTCATCTTTTCCACTTTGTGGCCCATAACAGTATAATCATATAAAATAGTACTTGAGTGACTATAATCAGGGTAAGCTGTAATATGCAGTGGTAGTTCCTTTTTCTGTGGTATTCATGTATACAGAAAGTTATTTATCACTAGTTAGTAAATTCCCTGTCATTCTGAAGCATAGTAATCATCATGGAGGCCAGGGAAGTTATTTTTGTAGACAAAGCCTCAGAGCTGCGTTTCTGGCTTATCTGCTAATGTTCAACAGTTCTGTCACTCGAATTTGGGAATGTCAAGTCAAGAACCTACTGCAGAAGGTCAGTGCCGTGATCCCCTTAACCCTGAACCTTCACTTAGGGTTATCCAGGGAAAGATCAGTGCTGAGGATGGCCAGTATTTTTTTTCCTTAGTTGACCCTAGCAAAGAGGCAGCAGAACCAGGAAGACAATACCAGACTCTTGTGTTCAATCGAGCAGGCCCTCCTTCGGGCGATGCTGCATTACTGTGCCTAGCACTCATCTTCGCTGGTGAATTGCAATACACTGCTCCAACTTCAGTGCGTAACAACCTTTTGCTTGATTAAAAAAAAAAAATGCAAGTAATGCTAGAAAACTTCCAAACATGAACATCGCTTTTGCTACCATGGCTTCCAGCTGTTGAGATCAGGGATAGCACAGGAATATCGAACAGTGTGTAGCACCAATACCGTATATTCCAAATAAAGGCTGAGAGTTAGGGTTAACTTAGAGACTGACAGCTGGCTGAGGTTTTGGTTTTGCTGAGGAGAAGATTGATGGTGATACATTACTGTTAGTTTACTCCATGCTCTGGTTTCCTGAAACTTGCAACTGAATATTTATATTCAATTCGCAAATCTTTGGTTAATTTATAACAACAAGTGACTGTTGTTAGAGCACCAGAACTTTTTAACTAGCAGACACATATACTATGGTGAAATCTTGGGCTTGACTGAATTGGAGTATTGCTACTAATTTCCTCATGCCAAAATTTCAACCTAAATGCAGAAAGCATGGAAATATTAGTACTTAAAAGCTGAAATGTATTGTACTGAATGAATTCCAGTTGGAAAAAGGGTGGTGGACAGTGTGCTTGAAAGAAAGGATAAAATGCTTTTGGAGCACTTAAAGCAAGCACTCAACTTCGTGATCTTCATGCTTTTCACTGCCGAAAATATCTTATAAAAGATAATCTTGATCAGCAATGGTCCCACTGTGGATTTCTTTAATTATGGTTAAAAGACTTTGCTACGATAACTGCTTGAGGCTCCTAGGGAGTGTAACTTACACATATAGTCACACTTAAGCTTGTTTTATTGTTTAGTAAATCAAATACGAAGTCCAGCTCCTTCTGATTGTTTGCAGATGTATGACATTTTCCTTCCAGCCCAGCAGCACTAACTATTTTATAACCAGTGTGAAAGTGTGGAGACCCCTGTTTAAAACAAAGACGGGCTCTGAGGAGCTGTATTAGTCATATCGTACTGGGGTACGAGGGGCCTTCTGTTCTAATACGAGTGTCCACTCCCCTTTTATAACTGAATAGTGAGGGTAGGATAGGCCAAACGCGCTCATGTTGGCTTCTGTGCTTGGAATAAACACACAAAAATGACACTAGTCCTGTTGGACTTTAAGAGGCTTCAGTGGTGTGCTGAGCTTCGTTGTTGGGTAGAGCATCATGCAGCGTGGCCAGATCCTGTTTCTAGTGACACGAATGAGAAACATTGAGAGGGGCGTGATTCTCTGCACTTCTCAATCTACCAAAACATGGCCACACGCCATGGATACTTAATACCTTCTTAACTTCTGACCTGACGAAAACAAGCGACAGCTACGCTATTTATCAGCGATGAGAGTTTCTGTCTGTGATGCATGCTGCTAGGTATCAGAGACTGAAGAGCACAGCTGGCAGGTTGATAACCAAAGCACGCTGCCTTGCAGAAGACAGCTCTGCAGAAATGACTGCACTTTCCTATGGACATCACTTTTATAACTACCAGTCATCAGAAACGTATTCTTGTATAATTGTCTTCATGTTGGAGAAGCAGGGGTAGCAGAAATTGCCTGGGAAATTCTTAAGATGCTCTACATGAGCATGAAGTGCCAGGAACCTGCGAAACTGATGACAAGATGAGGAGAGGTTATTCTGGGGGAAGACCCCTTATGCAGAACATGTACAGAGCACTGAGTTTTATGTTTCAACTTAGAACACTCCAACTGCATCTTGAATTCTGAGTTGATGACCTTAATTAGTCTCCCCACCTCTGTGTAGTCAGTTCACGCTTCACTGTCCCTTCTAAATTTGCCTTTAACTCAAAGGGCTGCTGAACTGGTCACTGAGGTAGGTTCCCATGTGTGGCACCTGCCCGTGCTTTCAGGAAGCCAGTAAGATGTTCTGACCTGGCGTTGGGAGAGTATCACTCACATTGGGAAAAGCAAAAAACAGGGTAAGAAATATTTTTAAAGCAAATTGCTGAGTTAGCTAATATTCCAGACACTTTTTGCCTGATACAAACCCATAAATAGCTGTACTTGGTTGCCTGCCTACAGGACTGAATTGTAGTTCTACTGTGGTGTTAGGCTGCCTGTGAGTTGAGTCTGCTCCTACTGAAGTCAAAAGAAAATCACCCAATTAATTCAATTTTGTCAAATCTAGCCTGCAAGAAACTACTAGCTTTTGCTAAAATGTTAATGACACAGGAATGGGGAAAAAAAAAAAAAACCCAGACCAAGCAAAGGTACCAAATAACCTGTAAACTTGGAAAAGAACTTTTTCTTGCCTTCCTATCATGTGGCAATATAAGCGATAAAGTACGCAAACTTTTTACTCCTCAGCGAGATTAGCTTTCTGTATTTCTCCAGTCTCTTTATAGCTCTTTTTGCTACTGTGACTGTAAAATACAAGGGAGGAGACAGGTTGTAATAAGAGAGATCAATGCTTTCTTCTATGGAAGAGAGAGACATTTTTCCAGATAGTTCTGCTTAGACTTGGTGGATGTTGGTTGAGGGTTTCTTTTTTTTTTTTCTTTCTCTGTGGTGGGAGGAAAGGAATGAACTTGTTTTCTGTGCTGTGGATATGTTTTCCTCTGCAAAATCATTTTAGGGATCTCTTCATTGGTAGAGGTTAGGGGTTTAAGTTTCCCAGTACTTTTTGAGGTAACTTCCCATACTCAATCTAGGCTTTTACCTCAAGAAGTTAACTTAGGGTAAATAAGTGAAATAAGCCTAATTTTTGCATCTCTAGATTCTTGGCTTGTTGGTTTTTTGTTTGTTTGTTTTAAGGGGGGAGGGACAAGGAGGAGCAGCTCATGATGTTGTTTTCCATCCGTAAATCGTTTTATATATCTCTCTATCAGGGATGTGCAGCTAGCATGTAAAGTACATGAAAATAGGGTAAGTGCAGGTGTACTCAGCCTGGTTCAGGTTGGAGAGGCTGGGTGTGCCTCTGGCAGGGTGCTGCTCCTTGACAATTTGGCTGGGGTGCAGACTGCACTTCTGAAATGCCCCTCCTAATGAGCTCCACTTCACACCCTTTGATTTGCCTCACTGAGTGGTCTTGGAACGTGCAAACCAGATCCTGTTCACATGAAAGTAAACCTGAAATGCGCTGTGCTAGTGCGGCACAACTGCTAACCAGCGCCCAGGCCCCAGGGCCAGGCCTGAGGGAGCCCAGGGACCCTCCGAAATGCATGTGCGAGGACACTGGAACTTCTCATCTGCTCCACACCATTTGCTAATATAGGCATAACCTAAAATAAACCTTTAACAGTTCCCTAGGCTGGCCCCAGAAAGGTTTTGGAGAGCCTTCTGTAAAATATTGCACCACCCCAAGTTTTCCCACTTCTTGTATTTAAGGAATACATTTTAAAATGCTTTCAGCACTACTTCTAAAAGAACCTGAGTTGGGACAAGTTTAGTTCCAGAGTTGCTCCTCTCAACAACGCAAGACCCTGTTTAGTTTGAGGTTAGGGTGAGGAGAGAGGCTGTGGTAGGAAAAATGAGGCCTAGCTGTCTGTTTTGGGATGCCGCTAGCTCATGGAAGTGCTTACTCAGG